CGGTACGACTGTCGTCTCTGAAATTTTGCTTGCCCCTGGGTCATCCACTCGTACTGCAGAACCTGCCTGTACCACTTGGTCTTCGTTGCCATTGGATACATCTCCGTGCTCGTTATACTTCTTTACAAACACAGTGTTTCTTTTCAGTTCAATGCCAGTCTCGTTCCTGAGCGTTACCTCTGACCCCGTCTTATGAACAACCTTAAAGGGATCAGGGTTAAAGTTGGTAGACAGCTTGTTGGTTTTCTCTGCTTTCACAAGAACCGTATCACCAACACTTATGCTTTGGGCGTGGCATGCCTCTTAAGGTCAGCATATGCTCATATAAGCTTTTCCCTTTAATTTACTTGACCAATCTCGCTCTTGCACTTCCTCACCTAGCACACCAACTGTCTCTCTCTTTAGCTCTGGCAGCTTGGATCTCATTTCGCGACCAAACATCATATAGCAGGGTGTAGTCCCTGCCGTCGTTTGCAGAGTAGATCTGTACGCCATCAACCATACTAGCAACTCAGTTCTCCAGTTCCTTCCTTCCAATTGTGCGATCTGTATGCATTTCAGTAATGATCTGGGTACTACACATACCATCTGTCATGCTCGACTGGTTTAATTAAACACAGCAAACAATTTATAGAAATATGTTTCTGTCTTTGTCTTGAGCGTGGGACAAAGAAAAAATTCTGAATCCCCTTGAGAAATTTTTTCTTTGTTCCACACGTGTGATAAAGACAGAAAACATATTTCTATATTTCTTCACCGAGCTCAAAACTTACCATCTTTCTTATTCTTTACAAAAAAATTTATTATCTCGATGAATTGCGCCAGTGTTAATTTTGTTCGATGGCCTTATATTTTCCTCACATCAATTCTCTCAGGCCAACAGATTACAAAGAAAAATGCAGCAATTTTCTGGTGAAGACTTTCAGGACTCTTTTGCATTGAAACTTCCTTGGAAAAATATTAAGACCCTGAGACTTCATTGTAAAAACTGTTGAGGCTTCTTCACTGACAGGCGCCAACTGAAGTAAACTGTTGTTGGTGAAATTCGACTTCTAAAAACAACTGATTTAAACGTTGAAGGAATTAAATCTTTCTCATCTCATTATTTCTGTAGTGGTAAGTTTTGTAAGTAAGCATACAACGACAAGTCACCCTGTGTTGTCATGCTAAATGAAATGTTATCCCTTTACGGTGCTGCACGATTTTGCCATTGATTTTATCGGGAAGCTCTTGTTTAGTTCAAGTAATTTCATCACAAAAAGAGAATGCTTTCTTGTCTGTCAAAGATTTCTTTCAACATAATAATATATTCAGCAACCCTTTTACGTGCCACAGAGCGAAAAGAAATCGGACATAAATTTGCATAGGTGCCTGATAACATGATACGCCTTTAATTCAATTCTGAGAAAAATGTTTGAGTTTGTCTTCCTTGAGAAGTGAAAAACTAGTTTGGTCAATTTTAATTTGTTTACTAGCCAAACTGGCTTGTGGAAATCGGAAACCACTAGCCAAAACTGAATTTTTACTAGTCTGTGGCTAGTGGGCTACCGTTAGTGTTGAGCCCTGTATAGGGTGGGATATAGGCATGAGATTGATCTGTTGTGGATGCTTCTTCATAAGATATGCCTGTTCTTACATCACTTTGTTTTGGCCTAGGAAAATCTCTTCTCTCTATTCATCTATCATTCACCCTAATAGTTACTGTTAGTAGTTTTGGGGCAATTTTGAATATATACACGTTTCATAGGGGGTCTATAAGGGGTGATGACTCCTACAGTTTGCATTTAAAACTTTACAGCTCATGTTAATTTCTTCCCCTTGTGTTAAAAAGATAATTTTTTACAGTTAATTTCTTTTTATGTTTAGCAGTTAAAATTTGTCAATTTTTAGTAATTAAGGTTAACCCCAATAACACCCTCTTTATAACATATATGCACAGTGAGTGGTTCTCTGTTAATTCAAAAAATATAACTATGCATTAGATTCAGTATTAAAAATGATTGGTTGAGAGCATTCAATTATTATAACAATAGTGTGTGAAGTTGACATGATAACCCAATATCTGTAGTGGATATTGCATTTATTATTTATATGCCCAGTTCAAAGTCTGCTTCTTACCTATGTTGTGTTATCAAACTTTTGCACATTCATAGAAGAGTATCTTCTTTTGTAGATTGTTTAAAAAATGCATAATAAAACAATTATTGAATTTGGTTTTTGCATGATATCATGAATTATCCATCCCCATGTCTGAGTTATCTGCCTTAGACTTCAGCTGCAGCAGATAACTCAAACCATGGTTTTGATCATTCATGATGTCATGCTTAACCTGATCCAATAATTACTTAATACTAGTTACCGTATTGATTCATCTATAAGCCGAGCGATTTTTTCACAAAATTTTACCAAAATCTCGAAAATTTGAGCTAGAGAGGGATTCTCGGCTTATAGCCGAGTGTTTTTCCAAACATAATTTTTTCGAAACAGCAAATTCAAAGGAAACATAGATGTATTTGTCTATAAGCCAAGATATTGCATGCAGAAGTAAATAACAAAACAAGTTGAAGTTGGTCATTGACTTTATTTATGTGGTTGCTCCCAACGGAGTGGTTTGTTGTTTTCGGCGCGTAGTAAATACGGCCTACTGTTCATCCTCAGTGACGGCATGGAATTTGTCGTCCATCTCCTCCTCATCCACTAGTTCTGCCATTTCTTCCAAGTAGATTGCTTCACCTTCCATGCTGTCTAGAGTATTAAAGATTCTGCAGGTTTTGAATGAATGTATAGAGTTTGCGAAAGTGTTTTAAGAATTTCGAAACTGATCAATCAGAATTGCCCATTCCCACGATTGGTGAACAAACTCGTCACATGTTACGGTGTTGAAATTTGCGATCTCGTACAAAGAAAACTTACCTTGGCTTCTCTGCTCTGTAAACCAGTAAAGTAATCTCTCATCCAGCGGCGGATATTTCGGAGTGTAACGGCCCGTCGTTGTGCATTTCACTGACATCTCGAGCTCTCCATTAAAGAGATTCTCTTGATCTTTCCTCTAGCGACTCACTGATGACTTACACTCTGGTTATCTCAGAATTGTTTTCGACGGCAATGCTGCATTGAAACTCATTTCTAGCTGTTTCGAAACTTTTGCGTTCATTTCAGTTTGTTCAAGAATGGAATTCTCTGAATATGGTCTCCGCTTAAAGCTGAGTATTTTCAATTTACATGTTTTAAGAACCTTCCCGATTAAAACAGACCGAAGTTTAGGGTGTCGGCTTATAGCTGAGATCGGCTTATAGACGAATAAATACGGTAGCTAATTAACCTATATTTTATTTTACCTATTTTTTTATTTAATAAGTATTTTAAAGAGCCTATAGGGCGAGTCAAAATACAAGCAAATAGTTAAAATACTCAGCGATACTACACACCAAAATGTCTACTATGATATCTACTATCCAACTGCTCTATTTTAGGCACATTTCTTATGAGGCAGGATAGAGAAGTGTAGCAGACACAATCAACCAGTGAAACACATCTTTTTTAACAATACAAAATAACTGTCCAATATCCCGTAATAACTCTACTCAGTGCAGTTGGATATTAAAGACATTTATTATCCATGAAATATTTTTGTGTGTACGCAAATGGTTTAAACACATGTTTTTCGTGAAAGGCATATTCCGCAGTTTTGCACAAGTACATTTTGTACAATTACATTAACTACACCTTAAAGCGCTAACAAATACAGTTGTGACCAATTTAGAGTTGCCACTCTCGTAGAATAGGGAGGCTTAATTTTTGCAGAATTGGGCTTCGTGAATTTGTCACAATTGAATCTCTTGAATTTCGCAAAACTCAACTCCCTGGGCTGCGTTGTCAGCGGTTTTACTTCAAATACAAGAAGGGGGCAGTCACTCAGCTTGACACACGAACTGGAAGGTTAATTACTGGACGGCTGCACGTTTTTTAGTTTTGGTTTTGCGAGATGTCTTTGAACGGTAACACTGACAAGTTGGTACTGATTGACTATCTTTGCTCGCCATACATACGAATTCCCGCGTCCAGGTCTCCCGAACTCGCTAGTATCCTCCTCCATGTGACGACCGGCTTCTTTTCGCTGGAGGAAAAGATTTAAACTCTGACCTTTTGGGAAAGGTTGAGGTACCATGTTTAGTTGTTCAGTAGCCAGAAAACAGTGACCTGAAATTTTCAAGCACCCGGTTTTGGTCATGACTCGAACTGGATAGAGAGTTTGTCACCACCACTGTTTCAGTCCCTGTAACTGCTCTTCCTGCAGTTGAAACAGCGGTGTTGTCAGACTCTCTATCTCCACCGAGCAAACTAGCTGCTTCTCTCAGAAGACTAACAACCTTGTCAGTGTTACCATTCAAAGGCATCTCGCAAAACCAAAACTGAAAAACGTCCAGCCGTCCAGTTATTATCCTTCCAGTTTTCGCGCCAAGCTGAGTGTCCACCCCTTTCTTGTATTTGAAGTAAAACCACTGATAACGCAGCCCAGGAAGTTGAATTTCGCAAAATTCAAGAGATTCAATTGTGACAAATTCACGAAGCCCAATTCTGCAAAAATTAAGCCTCCCTATTCTACGAGATTGGCAATTCTAAATTGGTCACAACTGTATTTGTTAGCGCTTTAAGGTGTAGTTAATGTAATTGTACAAAATGTACTTGTGCAAAACTGCGGAATATGCCTTTCACAGAAAAGAGACATCTACAGTGAAATGAAACGTGCTACAATAAACAGGAAAACAGTGCCATAAAATGAAAAGACAGTTATGGCGGGGATTACCCCCCTTACTATTTTGCACAAATTAAACTTGTATATTTGTCCCTGGACATTATCTGTTCCTCAAAGCTCAGTTTTCATAGTTTAAGCATTCAGGAATTGTTGATCGCGACTATTTCTCTTTCAACAGTGCCCACATTTGGAAATATTACAATCAAGTGGTTGTTAGGACAACCAAATTTTGAAAGAATTGTCATTGCAATGAGCAATGCATCCAATGTCATTGGAAGATTAAAGGATGGAAATTTCCATTGCTACAATGATGGATTATTCACTAAGAGAATGTGCAGGGAACATTTCCAACTGACTCTGAATGGATCAGGGGACCTCATTATTGCCATTACTAATCTCTCACCTCCATTTTTTGGACGTTTCCTTATTTCTGTATACAATGGACTGGACTCTGAAATAGACACCTTATGGTTTACTGTCCATGAGAAAGGTAAGCTGAGAACTTTCTGCTGTACTCTTAAATACGTAATATTTGCAATATCCAAAAGGTGTAACAGACATTGAACACGTCTTTCATTTTGCATAATTATTACTGCAAGATATGTACACGACTGAACCAACAACTGTGTCATTCACACCTACTGAAGATTGTCATCACAGAGGAGACAAAGCTCATCAACTTGCTTCCTATGAGTAATGGTAAAGTTAGTTGGCCAGATAAGGTTACATCCCGTTGGAATACTTATTTGTATTTTAAGATCCCTCATTGAAAAAAGGCTGGCACTGTTTCTGTGACATTTTAAAGTAGTGCAGCCCACGGCTTCTTAAAAGGTAAAAAGCATTTCTTATTTACGGAAAGAATACAGAAACAGAAGTTAGCTTCTGAGAGAATAAAAATGAGAAAGGAGCCAATCTAGTTCTTCATGTGTCACAGTCACCACTTAGATTTTGGTGAAAGAAATCTGGAAAGAGTACAGGTGTGAAACTATTACCTTATTGAGAGCCACTGACCATAAATATCGAGAATCTGCTGACAGCTGCAAAATTTCTTAATTCATTTTATTTTTCCTAAAGGACCCTTTTAATGAATCTTTTTCGAAAATTATATCAAAAAGTTCTATCGCACTTTTTTCTCTCTGAAAAATCAAAGAGTTCGAAATACACCTAAATGGCTGTTGTCCCCCCCCCTGTAAAGCAATAAAAAATTACACAACTTCGGCAACTTCGTACGCTACTATGCAATCCAATCTCACTTTAAATTTTTGGGTGCTAGCAGATGGTCCATTCTTCTCTTGGAAAATATTAATTTCTTGCTATTTTGTTACATTTAAATCTGAACAGTGACCCATTGAAATAAAGTACTTTGCACGTCTCTTTTGCAAAGGTAAATTAAAGGTCAACTTCAGTGGCCTTTGGACTGGTCTGCCATATATACTTACAAGTCATATTGTACATCAACTTAAAAGCTTTATCCGTGTATTTTAATGCCTCTAATTCTCTATCTTGGCCCACCATAAGCGGCACGTCCAGGTTTACAAGAGTTTGGGCTATTTTGTCAAAAATGCAATGCGAACCGCTGAGCAGCTGTTGCGACCCATTTAAGGGCCACTAAAAGGTCTTGTATGATATATTTACAAACCAAAATATATACCTGCTTTAAGCTTTGTCCTTGTAGTTTAATTCCTCTAAGTTTCTTTCTTGGCTCACCATAGGTGGTGCATCCAGCTTTAACAGAGTTTGGGCTAAAAAATGACAACAAATGTAATGTGATCCGTTGAACGACTGTCATGCAAGAGGTCAAGGCCAATCTTTCAACTTAGTCAGGAGTGTACCAAATACATAACCTCTTGCGTGACAGCCATTCAACGGATTGCATTACATTTTTTGTCATTTTAGCCTAAACTCTTTTCAACCTAGACGCGATGCCTATGGCGGGCCAAGAAAGAAACTAAGAGGTCTTAAACTACAAGGATAAAGCTTAAAGGGAATATATACTTTGATCTGTAAATATATCATATAAGACCTTTTTAAAGGCCTTTGAATGGGTCATGACGGCTGTTCAGCGGGTGGCATTGCACTATCAACAAAATAGCCCAAACTCTTGTAAACCTGGAAGTGCCGCTTATAGCAGGCCAGGAAAGAGAATTGGAGGAATTGAAATGCCAGGATAAAGCTTAACGATGATGTACATTATGATTTGTAAGTATAAATGGCAGATCTGTTCATAGGCCATTGTAGTTGACCTTTATTTTACCTCTGCGAAAGAGACACGAAGTACTTTATTACAACGGGTTACTATTCAGACTTAAACGTAACAAAATAACATGACATTTAATATTTTCTAAGAGATAAAAGGACCATCTATTAGTCCACAAAATTTAAAAGCCAGATTGCATCATGTTATAGCATATGAAGTTGCCAAAGTTGCTTAATTCTTCATTGCTTTGCGGGGGGGACAATGGCCATTTAGGTGTATTTTGAAGTTTTCGATTTTTTGGAGAATAAAAGCGGGATTGCATCGCGCTGTAGCGTACGAAGTTGCCGAAGTTGCATAGTTTTTCATAGCTTTAGGGGGGGGGGGACAACAGCCATTTAGGCATATTTCAAACTTTTCTATTTTTTTGGAGAAAAAAAAAGCAATAGGACTTTTTGATATAATTTTCAAAAAAGGTTCATTAAAAGGGTCTATTAGAAAAAATAAAACAAATTACAAAATTTTGCGACTGTCGGCGGATTCTCAATATTTACGGTCAGTAGCTCTTAATACATTACACATCACAGTATACACTTCTGAATGCTTCAGATTACAAATAAAATTGAAATAGGGTGCCAAAGGTGTAGCGTATTCAATTGTCACTACTACATAAGTAAAAGCTAAACTTTGAGAATTGTGTGCCCCTAGACCCTAAAAGGAAATAAATGTTCCATCAACCTATTAAAACTATGCTTAACCTAGCGTCGTTTAAGGAACTTAGTCCAATAGGACCTTAAAAGTCCAGTCACAAATAAACTTAAAAGTTCTAAAATGGTATACCCATAGACCCTAAAATGGAGATAAATGCTTAAAACCTATTTTACTTAAAACTAGCGTCGTTGGAAGATCTTAGTCCGATAGGACCTTGAAGGTCCTGGCAATGTTAAGGGAGCTAGAGACTACAGCTTTCTGCATGTTCCTTAGCACTGAATGACATCTGCCACTTCCAACCTGTTGGCATATGGTTTCCTTGGCCTTTGCAAGCTCCCTCCATGGGTGTCTATTATGATGTTATGCTGCTTAATCTTGTACTCTGGGTCACTCCTTAATTCGTACTACAGCGGGGCACACATGTACTTGTTCGTCTTCTCTGCACATTTGATCTCTCAGATTACACTATTATTATTATTATTATTATTATTATTATTAATATGATTATAATGAGTAAGCTCAGCCCAATGCAGGAATATTTAGTTATATTGGTTTAGTGACCATAGAGATGTGCATACTCTGATTGGGGGAGGATTGCATCGTATCTTGCCATAATCACCTTGTTGAACAATCCCTTCAACTTCATCTCAGGGGTTATTCAACATTATTCACTTTGCCTTCAGTGAACAATTGTTAATGATAATAATTAGTTTCCTGCTGTGAAGTTGAGTTGAATTCTTAATGGAGCTACCCTTGAAATGTACCATATTTATAATAACTTTTCCAAATCAATTGGATGATGCAACATCTTTAGTTTTAGCTTTGGTACAGTCTCTGACTTACTACGAATAAGTCGATCTGGCTGGACAGTTCTTAATGACATTGGAATTTTCCTTATGAGAGAAATGGCCTGGTTTCGGTCAGTTTTTAGGATTTAAGGACATTTGACAGACCTCTAGTCTGTTTTTCAATTTTGTTTACACATACAAAGTAGTGAGGTATTGATATACTATTATCATGATTTTTTTTTTTTTTTTAAGCGGGAACAGCAACACCCTCAACAGCTACCTCACCCACAGGTACTACATAACCAAATGATAGATATTCTATTGTAATAGCTGCCAGTTCCTGTGAAGATATTCTACAAGTGTTACAAGTATCAAACCACCACCATACACATTAGGCAACAATACAGTAATTTAGTTTTTTCTAAAGAAGGGTCACAGCAGTTAAATTTTGGTTACCAATGATCAAGAGATGATTATCACAATGTTTTTTATTGGAAACTTGTGCATCACTTCTAAATAACAAATTACCAGTAGTCAAATATCTGTCACTTTAGCAGCAAGACTGTCATTCAGTCAATCAATGTATACATGAAGTGTTGTTTAGCCCTTTAAACTCCCAGATCTCCTTAGTAATTTTCATTACTATCTGACATACAATTCATATGGTGTTAGGTAGGAAAATTTGGTACTGGATTAACTAATCCCCTAATTGACATTTTTCCTTATTCTCATCACTCTTCTCCCTGATATTATATTGATATGGTAAGGAGAAATTCTGTTTTGGTCACTCATGGAAGGTAACTGTTTAATTAGGGACAATGCAACAGTATATAATTATGGTCCTGCCAGGAGGGGATAAGTTTTTTTTGGTTCTTAAATAAATGTTATTTAATGGCTAACATTTCACTGAATACAGGTGTGACCAGCTGCAACAATGAAACTACAGGTAAACCAATGGCTACAGAGGCTACAACTCCAGGTACTAATTAATTCACATATTCTTTAAAGGTGCAAAATAGAGAAAAATTGATAGAAGTGAGGTTAAAATAGCCCATTTCTGGATTACCCTTGGCCTCATTTTCAAAACGAGTCCTGGTGCTCATCCTTTCATATGATAATAAGTTTTCATTCACATGCAAATTAAACTCATTTTCACAAGAATGGTTGAGCACCAGGCCTCGTTTTGAAAAAGAGGCCAAGGGTAATTCGGAAATGGGCTATTGTCAAACCCACAGATTTTTTTCTTTGGCTATCTACCTGTAATCGCAGCCAATCATTGATTTTGTGAAAGCAACATACATTGTATCATAAATATCGTAACTATGCTGTGCTAGACAAACACATCTCAAATGTCAACATTAGGATGGCTAATCTGCCAACTGATATTAATATAATTTCTTCTGAGATTGATCTAAAAAGTATTTCTCTTCAATCAATAACTCAAGGCCTTTGTCCTCTAACCTCCAAACTCTGATTGTTAATTCTCCCAAATCCTGTTCCCACACATTTTCTTGTAAATTAGGTATAAGGAGAATCTGGTGTTAGATCAAGATGACAATTGTCAACTGAAGTTTTAGTATTCTCATCACCTGTTTTTTAGATGATGTCTAGACATTGTAGGGAGAGGTTACATGTCAGTCATCTCTAGAAGTTGAAGGGTTAATTGTTGTTAATTTTCCACCCCCTTCAAATCTTTTTTTAATAAGTTTACCAATGGATATTTTTATGTAGTCATTTCAAATAACTAATTTAATGAATCTAACTCATCAAATACTTGAATTGACTGATATACATATATATGTAATCTGGTCAAATTTATGTTCTACAAACTGCCTAGAAGAAAGTTCTTTTTATTTCTCCTCCTATTTATAGTTGTTCTCTCAAAGTGACGTCACCATAAAATAATACAGTTTCAGACTGTAATACATTACAGTCCAGTGGTGGTGGAATTAACTTGTTATTTCATGTAATGTCTTGTAATTTTTTTTTGAACAGGCACCGAAAGTAAGGTTATCATTGGTGTTTCCATCAGTGTTCCCATTGTGGGTGTAGCAGTTTTGGGCTGTATATTTTGGTGTTACTGTTGCCACAAAAGACAGAGGACAAAGAGTGCTGAGCTATTGACGACTGCAGAAGGAGTAGAGCTCAGGGAAATTATTTCCCCTGCTTAATAATAAATGTACTTATGATAGAGCAGCACATCCATCTTTACTCATGTGGTACTTCTACAAGCTATTTTATTACAATTTTTTATTAGGTACTTCTCAGAAGTTAACAGATCACTTCAAGTGCATATGTTTTTTTTAATCAGATAGGGTCAAGAGATTATGCAATGTCTTACTTAAGGTAAACGGTAACTTAAGGTAGATTGCAAGGACTGCAATACACTGCAGAAACATGTTGCAGAGACAAATCTTCGTAGGTAAAAATGCCCATTAATTCTTTTGGAAAGCCTTATTCTTGCTATTATAGTAATTTTGTTTGCAGAACAAGTGATACAAATTTAAACTGTTTTGCAATTGGATTCAAGCATTTTATGGCACTTTTTTAGATGACCTTTACTGGACCACAAATTTTAAAGCAGTAACAATTTGTTGGGGTGACTTGTTTTTAAAGTGTCCTGGAGGATTATACTTCCTTAATTTATTTTTTCATGTATTTATAAAGACCACATTTGATGTAGGTAATCTGACTATTAGAGTATTACGCTTGAATAAGCAACTGTAAAAAAGATGTAACTTATATTAAGAGTTTTTTTCCCTACAACTCAATGGGTAAATTTCAATCAGTTTGTTCCAAATTGTCAGACTATAAGGCTATGGATTAATTATATTTAATTATTCAATGTGTCATTCAACGTGTCATGCACCGAAAGAATTGTTATATTTGTCGTCATTATTGTGATTTACTTGGTCTATACTCTTACTGCCAAGGATATTCATCATCACAGTGATGAAAATTTGTTGTGGACTGAAAATGGCTTGGTCTTAGTTGAAAATTAAATTTCCCTCGTATGATTACTACAGATTACGAAACATTTTAGGAAAAACAATTTTACGAGGTTAGGGAAAAGAGAGTCGATTTTATGGTGAGATAATGAAAATTGAGAGGAATGAAAAGGTCAGGAGAAACTGAAGTCATCAACCTGCTAATTCAAGACATGTATTGACATTATATAGATGGCGGAAAGAAGGTTTTTAAGTTTTAAATGATAAAATTTGTTCTTCATGAAGACTTTTTTGATGTTTTTGGTTAGCTAGGATGCTGCAGGTGGCCCTAACCTGCACAATGAGCCTTATGTAACTGATAAGTATGTACATGTTTGTGTCGCACGAAGGGTTAATATAATGGGATTGGGGTTAGAAGGTAATTTTTAACTTTCTGAATTTTTATCATGTAGTCTCAATTTTACATAGGGCCCCTTTTGATACCAGCCTCTGGTTGATAGGGCTACCCTGCCTAAATGAAGATGACTTGACTAATAAAAACAGACTGTGATTTCTTGCCCATATTTGTTCATTTGCATCTTGTGAGTTTTCTAGGCTGATTGACTGAGGTTTATTTAACAATCAATTTTAAGCTTCAACATTCACCCTCAACGTACTTGGCTTTGTGATAACTAGACCATGCTCGAGAGGTGTAGTTAGTACGTAGGTATTCATGCTCGCTCGAGAGGTTTAGTCAGTACACTAGTACTCTGTTTATCTACAGTATCTACAACCGCAGGTCAAAATATATGAACTTCATATATTCATTGTATCTGATTTATCATCACGGGTTTAATACGAATCAACTTAACGGCCTGCTCCCAATTGACTTGTTAACAGGGCAAGTGAATAAGTCATGTCTACAGTACTTAGTCGCTACTAGATAAATAGGGTTTATTATTGCGAGGAACGCTTTCATATATTTTATGAAACCGCAGTACACATATATGATTTTCATTCATTCAAATTCATTGACGGGTTTAATACGAACCAACTTAATGACCTGCTCCCAGTTGGCTTGTTAGCTCAGTTTGTAGAGCACTGGACCGGTATCGCAGGGGTCATAGGTTGAAATCCTGTACGGACCTAAAATTTTTTCAGGCCTTATTTCCACCTACTAGATAAGTAGGGTTTATTACTGCGAGGAACGCTTTCATACATTTTATGAAAGCGCAGTACACATATATTATTTTCATATATTTACTGAGTCGTCGCCATCATTACGCATTCTAGTGTCTTAGTCAAAAATTGTCTTCAGTTTTTCCATGTCATCCTTTCGCGAGATTTCGCAAAATTCGCGGGTTTCATAACTTGCCCGCAGACCAAAATTACTGTTTACTCTTACCCTCGACGACCGCCTTCGATACATGCAGTCTGTGAAATAGTTTGAACAGTGTTTTTGAACGTTTATTTAGTTTCGAGTTATTTCCGGTCAACGGTCATGATTGTATTGTAGTCTCGTCATTGTTTACGTCACCTGACTTGGAAAAGTACTTAACACGTTTTCTGCTTCGTTTTTGACACGACCACCATTGTTTGTAATGTTGTCTGAAATACAGATGAGTTCCTAACATTGTTATATTTACTGCTTCTTCATACAGTCCTTTAATCGAAAGCTAGTATGTAGGTGCGCAAGAGAGGGGCAGTTGGTACGCTAGTACTGATGAATAAACAAAATACTAAAGGAGAATCTGCTAAATAGGTACTGTTAATACTGTAGTACTGATGAACGCTGTTAGTACTGTAGAGATCCAATGTCTCTACTCCGTTATCAAGGACAACGAAACTCTTGACATGCGTTGAATTGTATCGTTGTTTGATTGAAACTAACAAATAATTATCTAACAAACAATTTATCCAACGAACAAAAGAACGATTCAAAGACTTCCGAACCCAGATAACGGAGAAAGTAATAAACTAAGGGAAACCAAAATACAAACGTGCCATGTGCTTTTCTTTTCAAACTCATCAACAAAGAAAAAAAAAAGGAAAAACAGTCAATGAAATCTGCGGCAAAGGGTATTTAAGCCGTCTCATAGTGTCCACTTGAAACTAACATCCTACCAAACAAAGACTACTAAAGTAGTCTTTCCCTGTCACTAAACTGTATCATCAATGAATACACTAACAAGGAAGTCCACTTGGGGCCACAAAATAGCCCTTTGTGGAAGTTCAGTCTTTAATTTCCTGTGTCTCAAAGTTCTTCAGCAACTCTTCTTCCAACAAGCAAAGTTTCCGAATATCCCTGCGGAAGACTCCCGCAGCATTTCTCACAAAGACTTAGCGAAGGACACCATCAGAATCTTGCAGAGTTTCTTCACTTAACGCCTTGAGCCATTGACCACGGGGAACGTGTCCGTCCTTCATTATGACCAGGTCCCCAACTTTGAAATTTGGCCTTTGCTTACTGAAGCCACTTCTGACGTTCCTGTAACATCGGTAAGTACTCTTTGACCCAACGTTGCCAAAACTCGTTCGCTAAAACGTGCACGTGTTTCCATCTTGCTTGGAACCGGTCCATACCTTTAAACTCTCCAGGGGCCGTACATGGGTAATGACATAATAGGAGGATATGATTATGAGTTAGAGCATCCAAATCGTTGGGGTCACTAGAAACTGGTGATCGCTCGGCCATTGAGTATGTTACTGACACTCCGCCGCAGTTTGAATGCGTTCTCAGTTAATCTCGACGATCCACTTGTACATAACTCACACGGAAAAAATACAGAATTAACAATGCGAACTTAAACTTAGGGAAACTGAAATACAACGAAATGAATACGAAAAAACACAGGAAAATACAAACGAAAGCGTAACCACTTACTAGATCTGTACGGCACTCCGGAATAACAATGACTGAATGAAATTTACAAACTACCAAGGATAAAGGCTGAAACAAAAGACTTAACAAGGTTACACAATGCTCGAAAGCGATTTCATAAAACAACGCTGACAAATGACATGAAAGAACAAAGAAAGATTTTTTACTTCTGAATATAAACCCGTTCTTAATGATTTGAAATTACGCTAATTGCTCGCGCGTGCTTCGAATTACAATAACCATTGTAATTACAATTAGATCTGTGACGTAATAAGTCAATAAACACACTTTGCTATGCCTGAAGAGCCGCAACAGCGGTGAAACGCGTAGCGCAAAAGCAAAGAGAAAGAAAAAGAAAAAGAGGACTTTCGTTTTTCATTTATTTCAGTATCTTTATTCGACACAGAAGTTTACAGTTTGTTTACATTGCATCTTAACCTTGTGTCAAGGANGGACACGCCTGAATAGCTGCAACCGCGGCTGGGACTCACGGTCGAAATAAGCGAGTAGCAACTCAACAGCCTCCGGAGAAGTCATCCCCTCAGGGAGACGTCCACACTCCACATCAATAGTCCTATGAAAGGACAAAACCATCACGAAGCTCGGCCCCAACCAACAGACAAGTCTGAGGGATGGGTGACCAAGGCCAAGGCAAAAAAGAAAGAACCACCTGCCCAAGATGAAAAGCCCACAAGTTTTCCCTCCCGGCAGGTACTCACTTAACTGGAACTAAGCCTCTAAAAACCACCAAAACCAAACCAAACTCCACACCACTAGGATGAGGAGCCGACACTCACCAAGCAAGGAAAAATCCCACGTCAGGTAAGTGGGTCTCGTCAGTGCCAACTCTTGCAACTCTTTTTTTTTATGTTTAAGGTGGACGGCCGGGCCCCCGATGAAGGGAGGTGCAGTGCCCGCCGACCTACATGTCTAAACCCAACCCATGGCAGGCGTGCAATGCCTTAGGGATGGGGTCCACCATAAACGAGGGTCACCAGACGCCAAACTCGCTGGGGAATCGAACCCCACCTCACCTAAAAATTACACACTCACTCCAAGGAAGTGCAACGCTCTTCATTTTACGACCAGATCGCTCGGCTCTGAATATGCTAATTGCAAGCGCTAAGAAATGTGGGGAGTTTAGGAAATGGACACAAACTTCAGATCGAACTAATAATGAAAACTTTACTATGAGGGAGGCGTGCAATGTGCATGACTCCTGATAAACACGTGAAGACAAACCGAAAATACGCTATGCTGCTTTGTGTGCCTTTCCGTGGAATTTTGTAGCATCAAAATCATGGGCCATATTATTTCACCTTTCGGCAAATTGGATTAATCAGGGCGATGAAGAAACGTGTAATAGTTTGGATTTGTTATTTTTTTATTCACTACGTCACAGGCAAGCCAAACAGTTTATCGCGTGAGTTTTTGAACATGATTTATTGTCGGCCAAATAAAATTCCTACCTTGGTGGGCCGATCGTGGGTCGGAAACCTGAAGAACAGAAGAGGAATATTATCTTTTAAGTAATTTACAATCCACTTATAATAAAATATCCCTAGGTCTCACAAAAAATGCTGAACCGACATTTTTGATGTAACAATTAAAGCGAACTTCGTAGCATCAGTGTATGTCAGGTCGACGAAGTCAATTAAGTTAATCAAGCCGCACTTTTTCAAAAGAATTGCGAAGCAGAAATCTTGAGAAGTGAAACCGCGGTGACAGAAACCAAGACAAGAGCCATTCCTTGGTCGACTCGGGTTTACAATCCCAGGAGCAGCCCAATCAATCGTAGTCTGCTATAACACAACCTTATTTACGACTTATCCCATAAAGTCTCGCGATTAATAGGCTGCCCTAGGCGGTTTATTCCAAACAATGGCGTCACGTGTCAACGAACGTCACGTGATTTCCAAGAAGAAACGAAATCGACACGCCACGCCGTAAATGGTTGCTGACTCGTTTAGATAAGCAGGCTTCTGGCTTTGAACGTTTTCGAGCGTTTTTGCTTAGTTTCTAAAGAGGTGTACGATTAAGTCTGAATAACCCAAAACGTAAAAAGCAGAGCAGCACTTGTTTATCTTAACGATGAAAGCGTTTCTACCTTCGATCCTTTACATGGTGATTCAGTGCCTCACAGGTAAGATTGGTATGGGTTTTGTCGTTGATGTTGAAGGCATCTTTTAAAATGTTATCTTCTTCACGTTGCTTTGAAATAACCGAAGATTTTCCGAATATAATTCTGAGGAAACTAATTTGGTCAGTATATATTATTGTGAAACGTTTGTGAAAATATGAAAGTCATATATTTGAACTGCGGTTGAAGAACGAGTATGAGAGCGATCTTCACAGTAAAGAACACTGCTGAAGCAGTAGTGGAATTGAGGCCTGAAAAAAAATCAGGCCTGAATCTTTTTCAGGCCTCATTTTCACTACTGCTTAAGTAGTGTTCGTTACTGCGAAGATCGCTCTCATACTGACTCATTAGGGACCTTAAGATACTGGACGCGGCTGCCTTTAAGAACGCGGTCACGTCCGAGAGGGCATGGGTCGTGACCGCCACCTCTGCGCGGGAAATACGAGCCTTAAGATTTGCGTTGTGCAAGCGGTCGCCGAAACACATAACAACAAACACATTCAGTCAGAGAATGACTGCTGAAATCAGGCGGTTTTGCTGCTATGACGTCGTTTAAGAAGACCCGAGAGCTTTTAACAGGCTCTTATTTAGCCGACATCATTTCTGACGAAGAATTCGTGCTCCTCTATGACTGCAGCTTTTCAAAGAACTTAGAATTACCGTATGACGAGTACGAAAGATTTGACCTCGAAGAAATGGCAGATTCGGAGTGTAGAGCAGAGTTCCGTGTAAATAAACGCGACCTACCGCATTTAGCAGAGTGTTTACAAATACCTGATGCTTTTGTATGTAACCAGGGCTCCGTTTGTGACGGTATGGAAGCTATCTGTATGCTACTTCGAAGGCTTTCATACCCTTGCAGGTACTCAGATATGATACCAAGATTTGGCAGACCAGCCCCCGTGTTGAGTATGGTGACAAACAAGGTAATTGACTTTATCTATGACAACCATGGATGGAGAATCAAGCAATGGAATCACGACCTTCTTAGTCCAGCACGTTTACAAACGTATGCAGATGCTGTGTATGCAAAGGGTGCAGCCCTTGAAAATTGTTTTGGATTTGTGGACGGTACTGTTAGGCCAATTGCACGACCAGATGAAAATCAAAGAGTTGTCTATAATGGACACAAAAGGGTGCACGCCCTGAAATTTCAGTCTGTAGCACTACCTAATGGCATCATAGCAAATATGTATGGACCTGTAGGTGGGTACTGCATTTTATTCAAGTTTAACCAATACCTAAGAGTCTTGTTTAAAACTCAAAACTTTTCACTCTTATGAATTTCAGAAGGCAGGAAGCACGATGCAAGCATGTTGGGTGATTCTGGACTGCTTCAACAGCTACAGCAGTATGCACATTCTCCAGCGGGACATCCTATGTGCATATATGGGGACCCTGCATACCCCTTAAGGGTACAACTTCAAGCCCCTTTCAGAAATGTAGTTCTCACTCCACAGATGCAGGCATTTAATTCTTCAATGAGCTCAGTAAGGAGTTGTGTGGAGTGGCTCTTTGGTGATATAGTTAATTACTTTAAGTTTATTGATTTTAAGAAAAACCTGAAGATTGGCCTAAGTAGCATTGGAAAACTTTATATAGTATGTGCTGTGTTACAAAATGCTCTTACTTGTTTGTATGGCAATCTCACCTCAGAGTTTTTTCACTTACAACCACCCACACTACAGGACTATTTTGCATAAGAATGTACTAGGTTATGGTAATGTTCACAAAATAGTTTTGTGAGTTAATTGTATAAAAACCACCTCAATGAAAGAACAATCAATGGCTTTTATTGTTGTTACCATACATGTAGACAACAAAGAACACAAAAGGGAATTCCATCCCAAAATGCCATCAAGCTTTTCAAACTTAACAAGTCGTCAAAACTTCAAGACGTAACTGTTGAACTAAGTAGAAACAAGCACTCTGAAGTAAACATTAAAGTATATTCTCTGGAATGCTTTCATGTCAAGATTAACTGTCTTTTCTTCCTGCAATTTGTTGCATGAGGCCAAACATCAAACTCATGAGTTGATTGCTCTGTTGTTGCTGCTGTTGTTGATTAGCAAGTGCTAGTTCATAAAGCCTTGTTTGTCGCTCGTGCTCTTCCCTTCTGGCTTTCTGTTCTTCTTGTTTCATTGCCATATCAATGTTTGCTTTTTCCCTCAGAAACTCTATTGTATCATTGCCACCCTTTCTTGACCTTTTCTTCGACGGCTCTGACGAACCCTCACCTTCTCCTTTCCGTTTCATCGTTTCACTCAGCTTTTCGCACGCCCTCTTTCGGACCTCCTCTCCCATCGCTCTGTCTTCCTCTGTCTTTTTCTTGTTATTCAACAATAATATATCTTGTTCTTCAGCTGCTTCCCACTTCTCGTTGATTTCCTCGAGGGCTCGGTCCAGCTCTGTTTCCTCCACTTCCACTCCACTATCTCTCCGTTCCTTCTGCATTCTTGCACGATACTTGTCCAGTAAAAGCTTAAGATGCTCCCTCACCGATTTCTTTGTGACAAGAAACCTTAATATGGCATGCGAATTGAGGTTGTCGGCTACTTTTTGCCACACTTTTCCTCTTTCAACTGTCCTCGCCTTGTGACGGTACGGTTCCAATAACAAAACCTCCCGAGCAAGAGCAATGTCGTGGTCGTTTGTCCATTCCATTGCCATACTAAAGGAAGAGAAAGTAGAATTTCAATCAAATCTTTGGCGCCATTTTTATCAAAACAAACACGAGTCGAAGAATAATGGTGCAAAATAATATAAATAATGCAAAATCATTTTCTAAAGCGGTCCTAAACTGCCACTGATTAATTTTACACGATAAAAATGAAGGTTAAAATGAAAAATAAAGCAAAACTGTCCGAGGAAATTTACCCAGATTTACCTGCTTTTCGGATTCCTTTCTGAAGACTTGACGTTTACACAAAAACCCTCTATATGCTCGGTAAATCTGAATTATGAAAACAAAAATGAACCAGACAGTTTAGGAATCTATTTCTTTTATAATAATGTTTGCAAATTTCATGCAAAACTTGTTAATTTAAGGGAAGAATTTGGAAAAATGACTTACCTTTCTGAGAGGCCGCCAAAATAAACTTCGTCGCCGCCGCAACTGAGGTGGTGGCCGTCAAGTGGCGTGACATTTATGCAAATTAAAACTGAGACCTTGCGAATTTACTTCCGGTTCACGTCGTCCTTGGCCGCGTCCAGGGTATCTTAAGGTCCCTATTGTACCTGTTGTCACGCAGTTTCGTCATTGCCGGTCATGAACAAGTCTACTCGCGTGTATTTTTGTCTGCTGGAGTGAAATGAATGTTGTTATAGTACTAGAAAACAATCAAAATAATACATTACTATATAGGAGTAGGTTCCCATAGATGCCAAAAGTTCAAATTCAAGGACTCTTCAGTGACTTTGAAGGCCAAGTTTAAGAAAATTGAAGGACCTCTTTTGGAAAGGTTTGGACAAGTAATTTTAAAATGAGTAAATATATTTCTTAGCTTTTCCATGAAAGTACTGTAACTTTCAACTTGAAAATTGCTTAAGAAGAAGCATTGCAAAAATGAAGCTCTAAACCTAAATTAAAGTACTTTCAAGGCCTTGAATTTCTCATTTGAAAGTCAAGCATCTTCAAGGACTTTCATGGCTTTTACTAACCCTGATTAGGTAATGTATTTGCCTTTAACTGCAAGGAGAAAGGAATTTTGTATCTACTATGGGTACAGGGTCATAGTTTGTTGCCATTTAATGTTTACCCAAGGGTTTTCAGAAATCAGTAGATTGAAGCAATATTACTGTTCAATAGTTCATATTGTTTTTAATAGAAAAATCTCTGATTATTGAATATTGCTGATGGCTGCAACAAGACAAGCAGTGCTATCTACAGTTTTAGTATATTCAATTAGAGGCAGTGGACTTTCTTTAAATATCAAGAGGGAATACACATATTTTGACCTTTTTGTGGGTCTTAAAATACATGTCATACAAAAAATTGAAAATGACATCAAAAACCCTGTGCATTCACTATTAAATTTTACAAGATTTTTGAGAATTGATTTTCTGTCAACTGAATCAGTCAATATTCCTTCACTGTAATCACTTCTAAGATCTAAACTTACTTCAGTTCCACAAACATCAACAGTTTTTGGCAAATCATCTGATCGTAAATGCTTGTTTCAAAGATGAGTTTTCATATATAATCTTTTGCCATACTGAATAACATCAGATAAGGCACTTGAATTCCAATTACTACATGATTTTGTTACAGAGTAACAGAGAAAATAGACAGCCACAACACAACTCACATTGTACTTTCTGGTTTCACAGGCACGACTCTGAAAAAGGGTGCTGTTTTGAACTTTATTAATTTTAACCCCTTTCAACTCAAATATATCATTGATGTGTGTACTCTAAATATAATGGACTAAGCCATTCAGTGATGATACTTCAAGCAGCACACATGTACCTTGAGGATGGCTTCTACCATAAATATCCATTGCATGAGAATCGAATATTTTGAAGCCTACATTACCTTTACAATAGACAGCAACTGCAGTACATCCTATTGTCACAACAAAATTGTTGAAATTTTCAGATATAAGTGATTGAAAGGCTCTATCTAAGGAGATACAGTACTGGTATCCTTCTATTGTAATTTCTTGATGAATAGTACCAGTGTAGCACTCACTGTATTGAAGTTCATAATCATTCTCTAACACATTTAAAAGTGAGGGTCCTGTCTGCATTAAAAATGATTGTCCGGTTAACTGAGACAAACATGAGTACAACTGATTTCCAGTACTCATAACTGACACAAGATCATTAACAGAATTGATTCTTTGTTTGTTATTGTAAATCAAAGAGCATAAACTGATTGCAACACATTATTGTCCTGAATTTTGTCCAAATATCAATTCATTACCTTGGCTATATGGTGCCATTATTGTTTTGCTAGGGTCAATGCACAGGACCAGGATTTTTCTCAATATCTGAAGTCAGTTGAAATTTATAATAGTTTGATGCGTGTTTCTGACTCCTATAAAGACACAAGGGTCTATCACAAGAAAACATTGATAATACCACCTTGCTCTATACTTCAATTTGATTATCCTCTGATATACCCTCCCTAAATAATTCAACAAATACTTCTTCTCATGTTGTGGAACTTTACTTAATATTACCCTCTTCGTATTAAGCTTACAAACATTCTTTGTAACTCTTCTGACCTTCACATAACGACGTAGCCAAGAGGACTTCGGTATGCTTGGACGAATACGCTCTTCTGGTATTTTACTGGCTTCTCGATCACGTCTAAACACACGGTTGTGTTTATATGTAAACATAATATGAGATAGCTTGTTTGATATAGCAGGTTTCGCTTGATATTCCTCGATTATTAGAAGGTTCACTTGCAAGGGATCGCTCGTAAATTGATCTCTCGTAAAGTTTGCGGACCGACCCGTTCCTAAAACGCTCCACAAGTTTTTTTGTGGGTCTACCGCGAACGGCGTGTGACTTTGTATATGTATTGGGCGTAATAGCCATCGAATTTCTTTCGCGTACATCAAGCAAGGAATTCTCCACGAAGGCACCCATGTTTTAAACCATGCACTCTACCGTTCATTCTACGCATGCGCTTATATTTCACGCATGCGCTATAGAGGAACTGCGTTTTGTGACTGAACGCCCAAAATAACAAAGAAACGAATAACAAAAAAATTAAGCCGAATTTATACCTCGGGCGTTTCCTTCGTAAAGCCTGAGTAATAATATGCGGGTTTGATGCACGCATCTCATCGGAGTGCAACCCTTTCACAAAGGGGCGATGCTTTGATAGACGGTGTACAATCTATGTGATGCTACAAATTATCTTGTAGTTTACAACTAGAGGCTCAAAAGTGGAACAATAGGTTCTTTTAAGAGAAGCTTACACATCATGTAAACTCTGGATATCCTCATGAAGCAGTTACGTTGCTTGTGAGCATAGTTAGTGGAGCATAGTTACTCTACTAACTATGGTTGGGAGTATATCCAAAGTTGCAAATACTATATAGAAAGTGACTGAGGACACATAATATTTCATTTACGTTACAGCTGAGCCAACATCTGGACAACCCGTCAACCCGAAAGATTCAAGTGTTGAAAATTACTATGGTAAGTTAAATAATACATTCATGTTTTTGGCACTTAACCAGTCCTTCAACACATTCAAAGAGACATCATCAGCCAAAATAAAGATCTCTAAGCAATTAATTAATAAAATCTTCCTTTTGTCACTATATTGCTATTTTCATGTCTCTAACTATGCAAGCTGTGAACTAGTTAAGAATAGGGATTTAGAGGGGAAGGATAGTTGTCAAAAGCCTTGCAGGGCTCAATTTGGGATTAGAACACAAAGTGCTGGTAACAGTTTTTAAATTATCAGGTTAGTGCAAAATGTTTTGGGCTCAACAAGACCAGTGCCATCTGGCCACTTGCCCCAGGGTGCTGGAGGGCAATGAGAATACTTGTCACTTGACTTGTGCTAACCCTAACCCTAGACCCTAACCCAACTGTAACCCTAACCCAACTGGAACCCTAACCCAGCTGTAACCCTAACATCAAAATACTGGAAGAAGGTTAATGGATTTCTGCAACCCCAACCCTAACCATTGGGTTAAGCTGAGACTTGCCATAGCTTTCTCCTGAGGGTGTCAAATACCTTAGTCAGGTGATTTTAATTTTTTTCATTATTTAATTTTAAGGGGAATCTCTTTTGACTTAAAATTAAATAAACTCACAGTGACTACTGGCAGTGTTGAGAGCTTACCTTTCCACCTGTGTTCTTAAGACCTACAGCTCATTGTAACTCATTCTCTAACAGGTTTAAAAGGTAGTTTCTTGGTTATGTGCGGTTAAAATGAAATGGTACACTTTAAATTGAAGAATACAGTTTGCCCAGCATCTTGTGATGGTTTTCTCTGTAAAGAAGGGGGAAACGGGTTTCCGTAAAAACTCACTGAAGGCCCCCAGAATAAGTGAACACCAGATGACAGTGACTTTTGTAGTTGAAAATGGCTAATTTTTTTCTCGACATTAAGATACATGTAGTATATTGGCAATCTTTGACAGAAATGATAAGGTCCGTGCAGTCAAGTCTTGTTTGAAAATTTCAGTATTATGTTTGGACCTAAATCTCCCAATCACAACAGGCAATTTTCTTCAGAAGACCTCATTGTAACAGCTTTAAGCCCAAAAATATTAAAGGTTTTTTTAAAAATTTAAGCACAAGTAAGTTAACTGCTGGAGCTAGGAAAGATGAAAGAGGATAGGCCTGTGGCTTGTTTAGTCTTGCCATGAATCTAAGTATGCAAAAGAGATGTGCAATGCAATTATGCTAGGGAACCACCTCCTCAAAACGAGATTACATGCAGTAGTACTGTACATACATTCAATTAGTTTATGTATTATAGTATTTGAACTAAATGATAGGTTGTCCAAATCAGTTTTTCCAGGTTTTATTTTGGGAAAAGAAGAGACAGGGCGGAGGCCTATTAGAGAGTTCAGTAAAGCTTTTCAGAAATATTGGGGTATAAATGCAGGCAATATTTACTGGATGAGGGAGGGGCTTTTTTCAAATCTTGGTAAAATTAGAAGTGTTTTATCAGCTAGTAATTAATCTTTATGACACGATTCTCTTGTGGTTATACTTTTTTTTTCAACAGTTCCTTCAGGTGGAACACTGACTCTGATTGTCAACATCTCTCACGAGAATGAACAGGCTGACCATTTCTATTTTGGTAGAGGGTCTCCTTTAAATCCGATCATCAAGTTTGCAAAAGGAGATGGTGGAAATGGAACATGCTTTAATGAGTGGCCTCAGTGCAAAGAAAATTACGGTTTAATTTTAAGACAACATTCAGAAGAGAAAATTTTTGAAATAATGATAAGAGATGCAAACAAGTCAACGGAGGACTGGTACAGGCTATTTGCGTATTGTGTAGGAACAAACCACAATTGCAATACAGGCCAACCCATGAAGAGTTTCATTTTGAACATTAAAGGTAAAGTCAGATATATTGCTATCTTAGTCAGCTAGAGTATAGGTATATTCAAAGAGCGCTGTTGCCAGGATGTGCATGTGTTATTGACCAATTGCGAGGTCAAGATATCTCAAGGTCCATAAAAATGGAAAAAAAAAAAGAACAAGGCTTAAGGTACCCAGTCACCTTACCACCAGGAAGACTGGCCATTTTCAACTTGGCTGTCAAAGCTAGGGTACCAGAATTAAGAAATTTGTATGTCCCCTCCAAGTAATTTTTTTTCTCACAAAGAATCAAAGCTGGCAAAGCCCCATCTTGCCTGCTCAGGTAGGCAATCAGAACACAAGATTCACTTCATATTGCCCATGGGTACTGGTAGCGATACAATATTTAAAGCTAGTTTTTCAAAACTACAAGTTGTACCTAAGGTTTTTGCTAGCTGTCAGTAACAGTCGCTCTGGCCTTTAATTTGCCTGAGAAATGAACAAGGTTGCAGAGTTAATTTACAATTGTGATTTTACAACTGTTTACTTATAATGTAAATTTCTGGCCCTTGTATAATGGTGAAGCTTTGGATCAGGACAGTTTTATCCACTGGTATCCTACAAGTTTGGCTTATTGGCTGAGTGTGTAACATTTACTGAAACAGCAAACAGCTAATGTTCCATTTATTTGAGCAGTAGTGACACAAACTTGCTTTTTTCATCATTGCAGATGAGTTAGAGCCAACAGAGGTGACAACAGTTGATACAACTATGACAGGCTCAGGCCCCACCACAGAACCAGTTTCTTCAGGTAAATTACAAGGCTTGTGTGATGAGGTAATGCATGAGCCAAATAATAATATTGCCTTCTTATTAATAGTTATGTGTCTACCAAAAAAGCTTTTCTTGTATTTAGGCAATTAATTATGCATACTGTTAATATAGTTACAGTTTTTTCTTGCTTTGATTTGTACTAAATGTGAAATGACAAAAAGAGTCACATAATTATGAATTTTATCTCTCTCAATGCCCTGACTGACTGCAGATTTCACTGCAACTAGAATTTCATAAGGCTTAATTGTCAGACTCTTTCTTTGTTTAATTTACTAATAGCATGCAGGACTTGATACAAACTTCCCATTTTCATGATTGCAGGTGGGCAAAACTCAACACAAGAGACAACAGGCCAAGGACCAGTTAGTAAAGGTAAAAAGGCATCATCCATGCAGCTGGGATGAAAGTAAAGGATTAAATTAGATACCTAGTGGCTAACTAAAAGATGGAGTGCAAATTAAGCATAGCTCCATCATGTGGGGTATGAAATTGATTCAGTCCATCTGCAAATCAATCCACACATAAGTTTCTCACATTACTTAACTACTAAATTAACCATCCCGATCAAGGCAGCTACCTGTATGTCATAAATTAATATACACTTAGGTACTGTCAGTAGTTTCTTATTTTTTTTTTTTTTTTGGCTTAATAAACATATATGTCAAATTTTGGGTTCTTTCATTCAAAAGATAATTATTTCAAATTCCCATTTTAAATTTTGAAATCTGTCAATATATTAGTGACAGTCAATCAGTAAAGTCATTAAAAGTTAATCAAAATAATTATGCATGAAGTAATTGTAATGCTTATTTAATTATTAGAGCTTCATCTTGAATTTATTTCTTTCATGTAAATCTCTAATACTGTATCCTAATAATTAACCAAATTGAACACACATTTAATATGAATTAAATCTTAATTATTACCTATTGTAAATCATAAATTGTGTTGTCTTGTGATTGTGTAATTTTTCTTTTTTTTCTTTTGTATGTACAGATATCTCAAGTCATGCTGTCATTGCATGGACTGTTTCTGCAGCAATCATAGTCTTCCTGATATGATTTGTATATTGGAATTGTCATTTAATTGTCTCACCAGGGAAAAGGGTCTGGAACTACAGAAAATGTTAGAGAAATAAACTAACTTTTTTGAAGAAATTTTTCCTTTTGAGTTAAACTGGGGTGCCCATTCATCCCTCTTTCTTCCTCGTGATTATCATTGCCTTGATTGGTGGCTTTCCTTGAATATTTTTAATTGATAATTTCATGTCTGTGATTAATTGAAGCTGGATTTCTAAGTAGATATAATTCTATGAATACATATTATTTTTATTTACTATACTGTGAATATTCTCCTGTTAATGGGTACTTCATGTAGATCTATAAAGTAAAGTGTACATGTTTGTCTGTGCCAGACAAGTTTAAGAAATCATATTGTGGCATATTTCATCTCATATATTGAGCCAAGGACACACTGCTGTATAGTGCAGGGACAGGTGTGACATGGCAGAAGGTTTTGAGGAATCTTTATGTCCATACCACTGAGAGGTACTTTGACACAGCAAAAATTGCAAATTAAAATAATTTGGGCTTTTTTTTTTAATTTGAATTTTGAAGAGTATCTAAAATTAAACTGGCTCAAACTTTAAATCAGTGCATGCACATAGTGGTTTGTTGCAGTGACCTGAAGAATTGTAGTTTCAGATTGATGTATTTGCTACTTATTTATGATTTATATGGTTAATACATGAACATGAGTAGAATGATGCTAACTTGAACTCCTAAGGGAAACAAAAACAACTTTGAATTTTCTTTTCCTGTTTTAAAATGATTATTAAGCTGGAATCATGTTTCAACCATTCTTGGGTAGTTTTTGTGATGATTAAAATATTCAGGTATGTGCGAGAGTGCTGCCCCATTCATGTACAATCAAGAGTCATTAGGGCTTAGGGAAATTAAGAAAAACTAGTTTGAGTTAAGAGGGAGTTTGAGATGTATTAGGATGAGCAGCAATGCATTCAAAAGTGAAACTTGAATGATGAAATTTGAAATTTGGATTAAAATGAATGCATTGGAAAGTAAGTTATTTTAAGGAAAATACATGCTTTTAAATAAATACATTTTTTTAATGAGGATATATTTTCATATGTTCATGACTTCTCTTTGAAACCAGGTGCATGAAAGCATGGCAATCCTCATGCATGCTAAGTAACTTGTCAGCAAGTGAAATTGTAATTGCGGTTGTAATGATATAATAAATGTCTTCATGCACCTTTTGTTTGTCGTGTTAGCCTAAGGATCAGTACTAGCTGTATTGGAAAATGAACTTTGCATGATTTGTGTAATTATTTAATCACCTACTAGCCCATTCTAGATTAGGCTCGATTTCCGCCTCTCTCGAGTCCGGTCTTTTTTGTTCCTCCCTGAGAAGAGGGTTTAGGAAGGAGCGTTGGCTCTGGTTCCCGAACAGCGGTTGATAATCGAGCCTATGCAATTTTAGATCTCAATAGATTAAAGCGACTGGGTGGGAAAGGGAAATGGAAGGCAGGGCGACGTCAGGGGGGTTTTTCATAAAATCAGTGAAGGGCTTACCTGCAGACTTTAAAACGCACAGACTGAACTTCTTGAACATTAGGGCCTTTCTCAAAAGGGCAGGTCTTTGTTTCGCTCTTTCTATCGAGCTCGGAAACTAATTACCTAATCATGAATTCATCCAAAATCATAGTTCAGATGTCGTTCTTTAGTATTTGTGTGTATATATTTAACAATTATTCCACGAGCGCGCGTTGGATATGAGATGATAGATAGCCAACGAGGCGCATAGCGCCGAGTTGGCTATAATCATCTCATATCCAACAAGCGCGAGTGGAATAATTGTTTTATTAAAAACGCCCTCAAGAAATTATTATTTTGTAAGAAGAAACTGGATTTTTTAGCTCCCTTTTGATTTTAAGCTGACGCGTACGCTTACCATATTTGTAGATTATGGTATATTGGCTGATATACCATAATGGCTAAGCCAATAAAAAGTCTTGAATTGCATTATCCAATGATCCAGTTTTTAATATATATATATGTATATATAACGAGTTGATCTGCAGAACTGCTTTCAGAGTGCTCAATAGTAAACTAGAGCGTGTTTATAATAGAAAACGGGGTGATCAACTGAAGACTTGACTTGGCATTTATTATATACTATTTAGTTTTGTATTACACAGCTTGTGTAGCACTCGTCGGCATTTGGCAATTTACGAAAACGAAAATTCTTACAGAAATCTTGAATTCAGATTTTGGCGCGTCTGTAATTTATTGCGGAATATTTCAACAGTAGAGGCCCATGGAGTTTTAAATGAGACTACTTTAAAGCTAAAACGAGATTTAATCGAAGAGACATGACATGCGCATGGAAGATGCGTTGCGTGACGCTTTAAGCGATGTAGGTAAAGATAACATTACGAAAGACAACTGTCAAGAAGAACATATGGAATGCATATATTCCATCAACTAAAATAGTACTGATTTGATTTTAATTACGTTTCCTTAGCTCTTTCTTTTCCACGTAAAACAAATATATTAAGCGAATCAAATGTCTCTAGTTGCAATCGTTTTGATTTTTTTTCTATAAGATCGTTTTCCTTATCAGTATTCTTGAGGGGTGTGTAGAAAAACGAAGACCTAAGATCTAAGACCCAAAAACGAAGACCCCCCCTCAAATTCACTCCTAAACAACTAGAGACGGGTATCTCGGCCTCAGATGTGTAAAGAAGACAAGATCTTCAATTACACAAATTTCGACCAGGATCTTCGTTTTCTACACATCCCCCCGTGTGTAGAAAACGAAGACCCCCCTCAAAATCACTCGGAAACGGCTGGAAACTGCTTTTAACGACTCTTAGACATGAAAGGGGTGTTAAAAACAACACGGCTCCTCAAGATTTTCAATTATAAAGAATTTCGACCAGGGTCTTCCTTTTCTACACATCCCACCCAGTGTGTAGAAAACGAAGACCCCCCTCAAAATCACTCGGAAACGGCTGGAAACTGCTTTTAACGACTCGTAGACATGAAGGGGGTGTTAAAAACAACACGGCTCCTCAAGATTTTCAATTATAAAGAATTTCGACCAGGGTCTTCGTTTTCTACACATCCCCCCCGTGTGTAGAAAACGAAGACCCCCCTCAAAATCACTCGGAAACGGCTGGAAACCGCTTTTAACGACTCTTAGACATGAAAGGGGTGTTAA